AAAAATACAGAACATGTTTGATATGCTTGCTGGTTTATATTTTTATTTGTGAAAATAAGTTTATTTTTGAATGACACAACCCTTTCCCCACCCCTACATCTGCAATCTCCTTCGCACCTCTCTTGCTCACACTTTCACTCTGTAAACTCAGGTCTGTTGCTTGTCCTCTACCCTCTGTCAGTGGTCCAGCATTTTGTCACTTTGCCCTGTTCTCTGAAACTCACTCATAAAATCACTCAGCTTCACACTCTCCCTCTCCACATTTGAAACTCTTCTTAAAAATGACCTTTTCCACTGCCCTTTGCATCAACTTCCCTCCCCTCCCCCAAATTCCCACCTTTCTTGGGTTTCCACTCCATCTTTACAAATAAAGCACTTTTGAGGTGTGAAAGGTGTTCTACAAGTGCAAGTTATTGCATTAAAATGAAATAAATAAATAAATTCATTCTGTTTCCAATTCATATTGAATTTGGCTGACTTTTTTAAAAGTATGCTGGAAATTAGAAATAAAAATGTTGGAAAATATTAACTTCAATCTTTCATTTTCTGATCTTACCTGATTATTTATTAAAATCATATTTACATGCCATTTCTTTGTAAATATAATGTTCTACTTTAAACAGTTAGATGACAGAATGTACCGGCTGAACCTCAACACACCTCTTGTGCAATATGAAAAATGTGAAGAATATGTGAAATATGAAAAAATAGATATGAAATGAGAACATTCTTATATAAGACTTTTGAGTAGTTTTACTGTTCAAAAGACAAAATCTGTATCTACTGCATGATGCATGCAGTTTATGTGCATCATAAATCATGTTTATACGAAAATGAAAAGGATTCAGAATTATTAGATGACAAACCAAATATATGAGTGGAATATTTTGGTAAAATGGATGAGTAGGCTGAACTACTGCCTGAAACTACTATAAAAAGAATGTGTCTGTTATAATATTGATGATAATAATCCTTGCATTTGATAGAGGGCCTTATCATGGCGTTGAGACGTCTCAAAGCATTTCACAGAATATACTGTAAAGTGGATTAACTGTGAAGCGGTTTGGGACGTACTCCCGACATGAAAGGTGCCATACCAAATGCAAGGATTATAATTACGCCATTATTATTAAGATTGTGAAGAGTGATTTTATAGCTGAAATAAGGAAGTAGTTCTTTACACAGTAAATAATTAACAGCTGCAACACTTTACCAGAACGGCTTAATGACCCGCTTGATGCGGTAATATGAAGAAGGTAGGGTGGTAATTCTGGAAGGATGAAATCACATCTTTCCAGAACATCCACTCAAATAACCTATTTCTATGCTGTATCATTCTATAATTCTATGATATGTGTCAAAGGCTCTTTTGTATCAATATCCCCCATGCACTGCCCATGTACTGTTTCTAGTTTTGCTTACAGTTGCCTTTGAATGGGTAACAGATCCACTGTCATTGTTTTTTATGCTCTTCCAGAAGTACAGGATGAACAGAAACCAAGTTATACTACAATGGTAAAATAATGAATGAAAATTTGTCGGCCGAGTTGTTGTTAATGGCATCCAGGTTAACCATATAATAAAACAACATTCATATTCAACCAGATCATTCGTAATTACAAAAATTGATTTACATTCACACTCCATGCACTCAGCATGGTCCATTTGGTTTACATCTTTTGTTGGTTACTTTCTGTTTGCAACATTTGGTTGTCAGATGAATCAGATTCCCCAGACTTTACTGCAGTTCTGATAACCGCCCTGTTCAAAAAATGTGTTCTTGGCTTGCAATAGCGAAGGATAGAACATGAGGAGGCAAGAATGGGAAATATTTAAAATTTAAACTCCATTTAAACTGCACAATAGGCACTCTGAGACTCCACCCTGGATGAAGAACCCTAAGCAAATGTAAGTAGCTGTTGTTGTTGCTGCTGTATGTTCATAGTCGTGTAAATTAATTATTTTATTGGAATTATGAATGTGGTGCTGGTTCAACTCTTCAGTGTGCAGACACGAGGTATTCCAATGCCGATCGAAAACTGAATTTATTTAATTAGTAACCAAACAATCTTTAGCTACTGTATTTCTTATTAGCTCTCACTGTGCTGCTGCTTCTTCAGAAACCTGGCACTGTTGCATAGTATGCTCAGAGCCATGTTCTGCTAGTTTTATCAGCATATCTTGGCAAACGTGAACTACGTTTGTATTAGTTGAGAGCCTTCAGTATTCCTGCCTTACTTCAAATGTTAAGGAAGCATTTTGTTTCACACTAAGCTGTGATGCGTAGATATCCATCACATTGTTATTCTTTTGACCTTCAAGGGTGTTGATTTGTGACTCAATATGAACACACATAAAATATGTTTCTAACATTGTTGCTGGACATTGTACAGAGCCCAAATACAGCTTGGTTGTTTCAGATTCGTGCTGCAACCTACGAGTGGAGTATTAACTGTAAACATCTATCTGTGCAAGGAAAATGGTTGAACAAATCTTTAGTTATTGGATAGTTTCTCCTGGTGTCCAGGCCAACACTCTCCCCCCACCCCCAACCCCTTACAAAATTGGTCATCGCTGTTTGTTCATTGCTGTGTGCAAATTGGCTGATACATTCCCCGACAAATATACACATTCCCTGACAAATATACAGTCGCTCCACTTCACAGTAAAATACTGAAAAGCGCTTTGGGATGTCTTGACCTTGCAATAAGGAGCTATATAAAATGCAAAGATTATTACTATTAGATTGTGAGAAATAGTCCTAGTACCTGTAGAAATATGATCTCTGTCAGCATCCTGATCACGCAAGTCTTGAAATATAAAATATAAGAGCACAGGACTGTTGCAGAAGAAGCAGTTGACATCGACAATAGTTGTGGAACAAAACGGCCGAATTTTATTGAAAACACACGACAAAACTAACTTTACCCAACTAAGCTATGTGTAATGTGCACCTACAGTAAGGGACATCTGTTCTCTTCTCTAGATTCAAAGTTTCCACTGGCAGGAACGCTTCTTATACCTCTAAGGTCTTCCCAAGAACCATCATATACTGTACTTCCCTTTTGCAGGCATATGAAGTAACCAGCTCACATGCTGCTTGTGGCTTGAACGGCTACCTACAACCTAGGTTGACTCAGTCCTTGGACCCATGGTTGCATCATCTGCACTCTTTGTGGCCAATCTGGCCTTGGACCTCATCAGTTCTGGACCAAGGCCTATAGCTTTTTCATTGCCATTTTTTGTAAAAAATAAAATGATGAAAGTTTTTAACAAGAATTTAATTACTTGTTCAGCAGCTTTAGTACACAGCAATGATCGTAAGGGTCAGATTTCTTGTGTTGAGTCTAAAAGGCATTGTTGTATTGTCAGGGAGTGTTGAAAATTACAGAATCATTGTATAGTTTTCATTGGGAACATTACTATAATGGTGTTTATCTGTTGCCTTATATTTAGAGAGCTTTGTTGTGCAGAAAGAGTATCCTTATACAGGGGAATTCTGTTACACTGCCCTTCAATAGTGCTTGTAGTGCAGGTCTCCTATGGCCTCTGCACTAACTGATAGGTTGAACCCCAGACTTCAGCACTGACTAGTTGGCTTCCTGCCCTGAAAAATTGTCAACTTTTGGGACATCAGGTCATTGCTGATGCTATTTTCTGCTTGTTGCGTTCATGTAAAATACTATGCGGAGATAGTATCGCTGATATTACTTTGTGAAGGAAGTGACGTCAGCAGCACTTCTAGCTTCTAATCCGTGCAGGAGGTGACATGAACAGTAACCTTATGACCAGGACATTGGCCAGCATTTTAGCACTACTCTTATAACACTCACTGAGACATTGGATGTAGCCAATTATACAATAACGAGATTTCCCTTATTTAGCAAGCAGTAATGGTAGTATGATAATCCTTGCATTTCCCATAGTGCCTTATGAAATTTAAACGTCTCAAAGCACTTCAGGGGTTTTTTCTGTACAGTGAACTTGTAGAGGAACACAGCCGCCAATTTGTGCTCAGCATTGTCCCACAAATAGCCATGAAATGAGTGATCCATTTTATCTGGGGGATTGTTGGCCAAGACCCTGGGAGAAATTCCCTTATCTTTTTGAATAGTGCATGGGATCTTTAACGTCCACTTGAACAGGCAGACATGACCTCAGTTTTATGTTTATTTGAAGTACGTCACCTCTGACATTGGCGTGCACCCCCAGCAGGCTGATTATTATACAAGAAAAGCCGTCTTCTTCAAAAGTACAATATATTTCACGATGGCTTGCGCACTCAGAAGTCTTGCCATTTCTAAAGGCAGGCTGTGCAGTATCCTGGAAATACGATACAGTATTATCCATTCTCAAAGGAGTGCCCTTGTGTTGGGCAGAATTGATGCCGTCGTTATACGTTTTCTATAACTCTGGTAAATGCCATGATTAAAATGGCTTTGTGCTGGCTAAGATTATTTGATAACCCGAGCCAAGGTTGCGTTTTCCCCCCATTGAAAAATCCTACATCTGAATAATAAAAGGGGAGAAACATTGCACAGCTGCCTGGACAGTATTTTACAACACATGAATGCATCTCACACCAACATGTCTTTAAAATGGTGTATTCACTCCAGTGGATTTTTAATGAGCCAGACATTTACTATAGGGGCAAAATAATAGGGGGGTGGGGGGGGGGATAAGCTTAACTCTGTGCTGCTGCTGATTTGCAAGCCCTGTCCCCTGGGATTGAGCTGACTGATGGGCTTTTGAACGTCACTGCAACCAGATATATGGGTGCAGTTTTGCTTTACTGCAGCATGATGCAGCTGAATATATTTCGGCGCACTCTGCTTTGAAGACCAGCGAAAGATCGGGAGGGACAGCACACGCGGAGTGTTCATCAGAAGATTGCCTTTCGGGGAGGAAGGATCCCAGAACCTGCGAAATTCCTCCGGCAGCAGAAAAAGCTTCCACCGCCCTTTCTCAGTGTGGTTCCAAGTCGGTGCTGTGCTGTGCTGTGCTGTGTGTGAGTGTGTGTGTGTGTGTTTGCCTGTGGAGGCGGATGCATTCAGTGCATCAGCTCTCAGCTCTCGTTTGTGCCCAAACCGGTGTCTTGTCAGGACAGAGAAGCAATGAACAAGGACAACCTCAAACAGCACTTGAAGGACCCATTCTGATAGTATTTGTCCAGCAATCGCTTTGAGTAAACACGACAAAGAATGCACGTTGAAAGACAGAAGACCTCAACAGCATCTCAGTGCCCTGATAAATACTTACAGGCAAAACCATCGAGAGGATAGAATCCACATAGAGGAGCAAGAAGCCTATCAGGGACATGCCATGCATTAAAAAGGACTGCTGAGGACAAAAAATAAGAGTCTGTGCAGAGATTTTCTTCCCTCCTTGTTTGCATCACTGACTGGTGCACAGTACCTGCCATTGCTGTTTAGGATCACAGTAGCTTCTTTGTATACTGCCGACATGGCCAGCCAGCAAGATTCAGGCTTCTTCGAGATCAGCATCAAATCATTGCTGAAATCCTGGAGCAATAGTAAGTAAATACCAATCATAGTGTGTGTGCGCTCTTGTCACGAATGAGCATTTTGGTTTCTCTGCGCTGTGGTTGTGTGGTGTGATTTTTTTTTTCGTGTTTCCAGCTGCCACTTGGAATCAAAATGTCACAGATTTAAATAGCTCTCCATACATGCAAAGGCTGTAATGGGATTAAGCAAAGATTTTCCTTGATTGAATACCCTCGTCAAGCTACTCCCAGGCCTTTATTTGCAGTGCATTCCACACCAGCATTTCCTGCCCATGTTTTAATTTTGTTTAGTCTTCATGTTATTTTTTCCCCCTGTTGCAGTTAAAGAAAAACATGCAGGATGGTGGGATGGCTCCATGTTATTGGCCTTTATAATGGTCTGCTTTACAGAACTGCGCAGTTCTGGCCAGCAACAGTTGTACACAATTACAATGTACATCAACATTCAAGTTCACTTTAAAATTGCAGATAACAGAATCACTTATTTATTTTTACATTCAGGCGGTTATATATTTCATAAATCTAGTCATATCTATGTAGCTTTGAGCTTGAATATTTAGCTATTTTGTTAAAGTAAAACGCCACAGCATATTCATTAATAATGTAAATGATTTTAACCTTCTGTTGGTTTAGAAAAGCAGAACAAGGTTGAGGTTTCAGATTTGGATATATCTATTTTGTATCTCAGATTAAACTAATGGACAGCTTTAAAAATATTAAATTTGTCAACATATTCGACCTCTGAATTTGGATTTTTGGATTTGTTTACATTCTGTCATCCCTCTTTCAAGTTTATGTCCTTTCAGTTTGAAGAAATATTTTCGAAGAGCTTAAAAATCCACTTTAAATATTTTAAAAATTTGTTATTGCAAAGTATATGCTAAAACTGCACAAATCATTGACTTTAAGATTTGATTTCTAGCTGGGACAGTTTGTTTACAAACAAAAACATTCTGACAACACAAAGCAGTTAGATTCAAATTGAACACTTAATCAGACACTTTGTTTCCTCAAAACTGATTCTTAATGTATCTAACATTGCATAATAAACATTTATTTCTGGCAAAATTCAGAAAACATAATGCAGCGTGCAACGTTAAGAATTATTATTGAATTTTGATGAGTTTGGGAACAAATTTATAGAAATATGAATAAACACATGGTGAATTTCATGGGTATAAAATCATAGAAATGACAGCATAGAACTCTGGACCCATCAGGTCTATCCCATGATAGCTCCTTCACTGAAATTATCTACACTCATCCCAATTCCTTGCTCTTTTCGTGTACCGTTTTATATTGTTTCTCTTCAAATATTTATTGTTCTTTTAGCCAGCTTCAATAAACGTTTGTGGCAAAGCATTTTATATTCTGCAAACATCATTTCTGCACCATGTACCTTGGACCTTCACTTCGGTTTTTCAGTAATAAAAAGGTTTGTTATTGGTACAAAAGTATGGGATATATTCCAAATTAAAGGTTTTGGTGAAATTGGAATAATGGCAGTTCCCACAGGGTTAATTGACAGCACTGTGGTCTTTCGCCTGCAGATTTATCTCCACCCATGAAACCACCATTGCTGCATTATTATTGTTATTATTGTGCTACTTGCATCTCGGGAATGGAGGAGAGTTGGCCTTAATGACTCTTCTATTCCTCTCTGTAGTACAGCATTTCAGAGTGGTAAATTTTGATTTCTATCATCTGCTCTCATTCGCTCTCTCGTAGCACGTTTGACAGTTCTGTATATGTGCTGAATTGCACATCAGCAGAATTCAGCTGTCACCAAATGACAGTTTTTCTTTAATGTTAAAGTCTGGACTGTACTCATCTTTCTACCAACCATGAAAATCCTCGAGTGTGGTCTAATAGTGCAAAATTTGGGGGTGACTTTTGGAGTTATACTCCAGGCAATAGCATTGATTTAATTTCAGAAATCCCTACTTGAGATTATAATTTAGGAAGTGAATTTAAAAGCTTATTCCTGTGTTAGACAGCAATTTTAGCACCAATGCAGAAACTACATTGAACTAATATTAAAAGCGTAGTGTAAAAAGAGCAACACAGTTTGATGTAACATGTAATAAGATTACCATTTTGCTGTTGCATAGGATTGTTGTATTGAGTAATTCCTTTCATTGTGTTTTTGCTACTTGTAAAGTAATTTTAAGATTAACTGTTTGGTGTCAACTCATTTTATGTAGACCGTGCAATTTCATATTAATCTAATTATTTTGTTAATTGTGTTCATTTGTGTGATTTGATGCACAAATATCTATCAGCATACTAGTGGAAGTTATAGAATAATCTTTTCATTTGATATAACACCTTATTATGTCCTTGTGATGTCTCAAGGCATTTCACAAAATATAATTTTGAACTATGCACGCAAATATGCATATAATAATAATCCTTGCATTTGATATAGTGCTTTTCACGTCTTCTAGACATCTCAAAGCGCTTTACAGAATATGCTGTAAAGTGAATTGACCGTATATTTGTGGGCGAAACGCGGCAGCCAATTGCACACAGCAGTGTCCCAAAAACAGTCGTGGTTTGAAAATGACCAATTTATTATTGTTTTATTTGTGGATTGAAAATGACCAATTTATTATTGTTTTGTTTTTGGAGGGATTATTATTAGGCGTGTGGAGTGCACGCTAATCTGCATATATTGGAAAGTGATGTAACTGTGTATTTTTAGTCTATATTCATTGATGTTCATGGATAAAGACAAAAACTGATGTGGATTGATTGTAATCGCTCTGTTGCTGACCTCTGCAGCTTTTGTATGGGGAGCGAATAAGCAGAAGCCAGGTATCTCTCCACAGGAAAATCAAATGGAAAATCATCACTGGATTGAGTGCCTTCCAGCAACTGGATAATTTTTTGGGGGTCAGCCGTCTGTCTGACACATGCAGAAGTTGGCTTCAACAATGCTTAGGAGTATCCAATCCAAACTGGGAGTTCCATGCATCCCACCTATATATTTGAAATTCCTAAGATATTTATTGGAATGGGATGCACATATCTCTCCCTGGAGGGACACATCCTACTTACCTAATTATGGAGATTATTCAGCCCAGGTTGGTAACAGCCAAGGCTAAAACCACATTGCTTACTATCAAAAGTACCATCTGGCAAGCTTTCGCATTGCTCATCCAGCTAAGAACACCGTACCTGTTAAGTGTTAATGGGAGCTAAGAGGGAAGAGTTTTAACATTTTAAATCTCCAGTGGCAAATTATGCCAAGGTTGTACTCAGACCTACCATGTTTGTTTTTAACCTGGCCTCAATTTTACTGAAATATTTCAACAATCTGCCTGCTGGTTAATGTCAATACTCAATTTCGAAATTTGTTTCAAGTGCCGGAGAGTTTTTCTATTATCGGATGCCCGTGATTGTTATCTCAGGTACATTCCATCTAATCAGAATGTTTTGGTGTGCCAGGCCTGCTCGTGGTTCTGAAAAGATCATGAACATTTTTTGAAAGGAATTCTAGTTTTTTAGAAGGTCTGTACATGTTTCACGACGGAGCAGGGGCCTTTTGGCCCAGAACAGTCTCGTAATTTTAAGCTCAAAGCAAAGTTGTGTTCTCCTTCCCTAATGCTAATCCCAAGATCATTCTGCTGTGACTCATGTGGGTTAGCATCAGCATATCCTTAGCTTTTCGCAGAACTTTTGTATCAAATCACTGAGGTTTTGAAACCAATGTTGGTACTTTACATGTTGACTGGTGCCAAGTTGCTCTGACATTTCTATCAATATTGAGTGAGTATCTAAGTGCTAGTACCAGTGTCCATAATAATAAAAGTCTAAAGGGTGATCAAGAAGTAGCCAATTGTCAGTCACTGTCAGTTCTTCTCACTTTATGCACAACACCCAAAACAAATAGCACACACACCAATTCATATTGTTTCTTGTGAGGAAGTACTGTAATTCCTTGCTATTCAGTCAATTAAGGCCTTGGAGTCCTGTAGCTCAGTGGTTAGAGCACTCGCTTTGCAAGTGAGAGACCTGAGTTCAATTCCAGGCAGAGGGCAAAACCTTGGGCAAGTTTCCTTACTCCACACAGAGCCTAATAATAATCCCTCCAAAACCAAAAACAATAATAAATTGGTCATTTTCAATCCATGACTGTTTGTGGGACATTGCTGTGCGCAATTGGCTGCCGCGTTCCCCACAAATATACAGTCAATTCACTTTACAGTGTGTTCTGTGAAGCGCTTTGGGACGTCCTCCCGACGTGAAAAGCGCTATATCAAATGCAAGGATTATTATTATTATTATTATTAATTGTACGGGACCTAATTAATAAGATCGGGGATGCCAAATCTTCAATGATGGAAGGCCTTAGCAAACAGATTGCTGTAGTGATGTTTCCAGTGGTTATCTATTTCAATGTTGCTGGTATTGACTGGGGGCAACGATTCCTTGACCTCCTTTGAAGCACCAGAGCCTTGCAGGTTATCAACTTCACCTGCTATCCAGTGGATTGTCAGATACATCTAATAACAAACTAGTTTGACCTGAGATAGAACATCCTTTAATTGATTAATTACAATTTGAAATTAACCACAGGGATGTATGTTTGGTGAAATGTGTGCAGTTGTCTGCTTGTAATACTAAATTATCAGTGTCTCTTTATTAACATTAGAAAAAAACTCTTAAGTTTTTAGGGTGCCTGTTGAGAATCAACTGAGAACTTTCAGGGGACCATTGCCTAGTGCTTAGGCTCAATTAGGTTTGGACTGAAAGGGACAGAATATTTTAATTTTGGTACAGACACAATAGATACAATAAAGGCCACATTTGGTGTTGAAAATTTCTGTTTGTATATTAAGACTTGGTATCAATATTCAATCCTGAATTTATACTGCAGTAGTGTGAACAAAATTGCTGAAACAATCTATTTAATCTGGTCTCAAGATGGAATAATTTTCCTTGCAAATAGTGCACTATAAATGGAGATTCCAATTGACACTTGGGGAGTTAGTAGGTAAAAGTTT